CGGCAAAGTGCACCTTCGGAGTTACTGGCGGAAAGTTCCTGAGATTTATGCTCTCGAAGAGGGGGATAGAGGCTAATCCCGATAAGTGCCAAGCTGTCATCAACATGAGGAGCCCCCACAACATTAAAGAAGTGCAGCGTCTGGCAGGGCAGATAGCATCATTGGCACGTTTTTTGCCATGCATGGCGGACAAGTCTAGACCAATAATATCACTATTAAAGAAAGCCCACAAGTTCCAGTGGATTGAAGACTGTGAATCATCATTCCAAGAATTCAAAGCGATGCTAGCTGCACCACCACTCCTGGCTAAGTCGGACCCCCATTCAGACCTCATAGTCTACATAGCCATTTCCAAAAAGGCTATCAGCGCTGCCTTGGTACAAGAGAGAAAAGAACAAGTCCCAGTGTATTTTATCAGCCGAGTCTTACAGGAGGCAGAGACCCGATACCAGCAACTTGAAAAGACAGTCCTAGCACTGGTACAGATAGCCCGACGCCTACGCCATTACTTCTAAAGCCATAAAATAGTAGTAAGAACGGACAACCCCATAGCCAAGGTTTTACGTAAACCCGAGCTGGCAGGTAGGATGGTATCATGGGCGATCGAACTGTCACAGTACAACATTCGTTTCGAATCAAGGGGCCCTATCAAAGCTCAAAGCATGGCTGACTTCTTAAATGGGTTCCATCCCGAAGCACCCCCATAAAAAACTACGTGGACACTACTTGTAGACGGATCATCAAACCTACAAGGAAGTGGAGCCAGAATCATACTTGAAGGACCAGACAACATGGTGATAGAACAATCACTACGCTTCAACTACAAAACTTCTAACAATCAGGTCGAGTATGAAGCCATGTTAGCTGGTTTGCGTCTAGCGAGTGATCTAGGGGTGACAAGGGTTAAATGTTGGAGTGACTCTCAAGTAGTCACGAAGCAGATCAATGACACATTTCAGATAAAGGAACCAACATTGCTCCGGTATTTCCACGCTTTTCAAAAGCTTAAGTCTAACTTTGAAGAAGTTCACATAAGCCATACCCCTAGAGAACTCAACATGAGGGCTGACCGATTGACAAAGCTGGCAAGTAGTAAGAAAACGAACCAACTCCGTATCGTGATACAACAAGAACTTCAAAGTCCAAGCATTGTAGAGGCAGAATGCCTACAAATCCAACAAGGGGATAAAAATTGGATGACCAACATCATCAATTATCTGTTGACAGAAGAATCACCTACCGACCCCCTTGAAGCCCAAAAGATAAGAAAAATAGCCACATGATACACTCTCATATCAGGCGAGCTATACAAAAGAGGTGTCTCATCCCCACTCCTGAAATGTCTGACTCCCGACCAAGCCCAGTACGTCCTCTATGAAATCCATGAAGGCAGATGCGAAACCCACTCAGGAGGACGGACCATGGCAGCCAAAGTTCTCTGTGCCGGGTACTATTGGCCAACTCTTACGGAGGATTGTGCAAAGTTTACTCAACAATGCAAGCCATGCCAACAACATGGACCGCTAGTGCACCAACCTGCAGAGGAATTGCATTTCATCACAGCACCATGGCCTTTTTCTATTTGGGGAATGGATATTCTAGGACCGTTCCCGCCAGCGAAAGGACAAGTGAAGTTTCTAATAGTAGTGATCGACCACTTCAACAAGTGGATTGAAGTAGAGGCAGTGGCCACCATTACAGCCAACAACGTTCAAAATTTTTTATGGAAAAACATTATCACCCGCTTTGGAGTCTCATATGCTATGATCACGGATAATGGCTTGCAATTCACAGACCGTCGTCTTAATGAATTCCAGGAAGGGCTACAGATCAGGCATATGATGACATCAGTAGAACATCCCCAAACTAACGGTCAAGCAGAGGCAGATGAAGAGACAGCTCGAGCAGGCCAAAGGTTCATGGCCTGATCAATTACCCGAAATCCTGTGGGCCTACCGTTGCATGCCTCAAAGTTCCACTAAAGAGACCCCATTTCGACTAGCATATGGTACAGATGCCATGATCCCCGTCGAGATAGGAGAACCTTCTTTAAGATGACAACAATTCAATGAACAAGCCAACGATGAAGCACTCAACGTGGAGTTGGACCTGATTGACGAAGCAAGAGACCAAGCGCTTATCAACATGGAAGCATGTAGAGTAAGGGTAGATAGGAAACATAAAACAAAGGTAAAGCCGCGAGAATTTCAACTAGGAGACCTAGTCTGGAGAGTCACCGGAGAAGCAAGAAGGAATAGATCGCAAGGGAAGTTAGCACCCAATTGGGATGGCCCTTTCCGCGTATTACATAACCTAAACAATGGAGCCTACAAGCTCGAGGAACTTATGGTGTAACACCCTGCCATAGGCCATCACATCAATAACCAATATGACAACTAAAATAAAATAATATATAATAAAGAAAATAGAGCAAAGGCCAGCTACACTAGAGTATAAATATACAATAACGTATAAATTGTTTCCATAATATAAAACATAATTTATAAAAGATTCATCCCTAGCAAGGTTATACAATAATCCAAAATGATAATGAATATACAACGTCATGAAGACATCAAAATAAGACACCCTAGGTGTTGGTCAAGCTCTGAGCCTAGCCACTTCTCAAAGCAGCTACCAAAAGACTTCTTGCTATCTGTAGACACCCAATTTCATCCAGGGGCATACAATCAACAAAGATAGGATATCAGAGGGCCCAAAATACCAAATCAAATTTTTGTGGCCCGGAACGGGCCGTTCCAAAATCGGAACGGCCGTTCCCAAGCCTAGAACGACCCGTTCTTGAATTGGAACGGGCCGTTCTAAAGCTCCTAAAAGGCCTAAAAATTGTAGGCTGGAACGGGGCGTTCCAGTCCAGAACGGGTCGTTCCAAACGAATCAAAAAGCCTAAAAAACTTGACCTGGAACAGGCCGTTGCTGGACCAGAATGGGCCGTTCCAAAACAATCAAAAGGCCTAAGAAACTTGACTTGGAACGTGCCGTTTTTAGACCAGAATGGGCCGTTCCAAAAGGTTAAAAAGGCCTAACAAACATAGGTTGGAACGGGTCGTTCTGGAAGGGGACTTTAGTATTAATTTATACCCCAGAACGGGTCGTTCTCAATCCAGAACGGGCTGTTCTGATTTCAGAACGGGCCGTTCCAGGGTACAAATTTTACACATAGCGGCCAGATCCAGAACGGGCCGTTCCGATTTTGGAACGGGCCGTTCTGGACCCTTTTCTGATGCCTATAAATAGACTGCTTGAGCTCATTTCTCAGGACTCCGAAATTTTCGTCCAGACTCATTAGAGCTCAGAATTTCTCTTTTTTTCTCTCTCCCTCTCTCTTTTGTATTTCTTGAGATTTTGTGAGGCATTCTAGTGTGAAAGGTTGCCACAAAGCACCTAAAATCTTCCTGTTTTGAAGATTCAATAGAGCTCATTCAAGAGGTATTTCATTAATCTCTTTATTTTTTTTTATTTCTTATCTATAATTAATATTGTTATATTTTAGGGTTAATTGTATAATTTAAATTTCAAGCGTGTAAATAATTAGTAATAAAAGGGGATTTAATATTTATATTATTATCATTTATAATGTTAACTTCACCATAGGGTGCCAATTAAGGGCGTTATAGGGGTTTTTAATA